CAGTCCTTCAAATACTGGAATACTGCTATCATGTCGCCCCTAATTCTTTTTTTCTTTATAACCCAAATCCTAAAGCTGTTTCTTCATATCTTTTAGTCTCCAGGCCTTTGATCATCTTAGTTGCTCTTCTCTGAACTTTTTCTAAGGTCTAAAAATCTTTTTTGTAGCATGGTGACCAAAATAGGTTGCAGTACTCCAGGTGTGGTCTTACTAGAGTTTTATAAAGCAGCCTACTTCACATAATCTTGATTCTATGCCTCTGTTTATACAACCCAGGGTTGTATTAGCTTTTTTGGCTGGTGCTGCACACTACAGGCTCATATTCAAGTGATCATCCACTAGGGCTCCAAGGTCCCTCTCACAGTTACTGTTTTTGAGCCAGGTTTCGCCTAATCTGTACTTATACAGAGTTTGTATAGTCCATGATTATCATAACATACCATTCAACACATCTAGGCTTGATATAAAATTATGTGACCTAAAGTTGATGTCATGAGACTTGATACTGCTATATCTACAGATTAGAGCCTCTTGGTTAGAACCATGATTTTCTTTGTCCTATTTTACTCCTTTGCTGTCCTATTTTGCATTATCTCCTTCTTCAATTAAGTAGTATGTGGTTTATAACTGTAAGATGAATAAATTTCAGAGAACACCAAGAAATAAATCAGTTATGTGGGAAAGAATATAGAAGCTGGATGAACCAGATTGAAATGGCAGAACCTCTAGCAGTTCCTGGAACAATAGATTTGTTTGGAACTCTATATATTATTGTGGATTGGAGAGCCATATCAAAAACAAAAGTAATGATCTTCACCTAAAAGGTTTGTCAGTTGTATTTATTGTCATAAAATAGACAAAACCAGTATGAAACAAATTTGGACTTTAAATATCTAAGAATAACTTTTCAATTTTCCCTGTTTTAGATTGAGATATTAAAAGCTATCATAAACTGGACTCATTGGATTGTCAACTCAATCTTGCATTTTGTAGACAGTGGCGGCAGCAACTATGTTCCTGCAGCTATGAATATCTTGAGAATTAAAATAATTAGTTTTGGCTCTCAAATTTGCTTCAATAAAGAACTCAATCCTAAAGATTGATTGTCTCAAAATGTGCCCAAGTCAGTCTTCTATTGGAATTAAGCCTTTCTTCTACAGGGACTCAAATGAGATTTTGCCATATTAGGTTTTGGGCCAAACTAATTTTCACAAAGTATTCTTATACCACTCTGACTTTCCTGAATATATTATTTTTAATTTAGTTGGGGGAAAATGCATTGACATGAACAACTTTTCTAAGCATGCTCACAGTGACCAAATGACTCTCTCCTCATCATTTTCTGTAGGTTTCATGTGGTGGAATATATTTTATCTCAAAAAATTACCAAACACGTAGAATCTTTCTCTTTGGTGAGATTTAACTCTCTGCCTTTTAAGGTATCTGAGAGTAACACATGATCTAATCCAGAATCAATTATTCCTTCGTCAATTGGGAGTTATTGAATTTATTATCTCCGTTTTATTGTGCTGCCCTTTTTATGTAGTGTAGTGTATAGATTTATTAACTCCCCTGTTGTTAAGCTGTTCTGGTCTTATGAGGAGGAAACTTATCTCACTGAGATGTTCTTTGAAACATCAAGCTAAATAAACTTATAACTATGGCCATTATGAGAATAGATTTTTTAAAGTGTTACATATTGTTACAAATACCTTGTGTGCTTATTTTCCTTTTAAAAAAAAAGGAATAAGAAGAATCAATAGCAAATGTTCTGTTTTATTTAGTTTTCTATTTTTATTTTGCTTATGTTTATATTTTCTCTATGCCATATAACATTTATATCTTTCTAATTGCTTTATTTCTTTCATTTCTATAGCTTCATTATTATTTGGTCTCATAGTATAAATAAAATTATTTCTCATTATTATGATTACATTTTGTCAGTCTAAGCTTCCAATTTGGAGTTTTTCCATTACTTTACCTTATTTGCCGGAAATTTTCTGCTGATTTTACTTTATTTCCCAATCTTTCTACTCTTTGTTTCCAAGCTCTCTCACTGAGGTTTGTCTCAGGGCTCCCTGTTTCTGATCCTGCTTCCTGGACCTTTCAACCTCTTGCCTTCTATGTCTTATGCTTTTGATTACTCAGTCAGCTCGTATCAAGCTGTTCTGTTCTGTACAAACACTGGCTATTGAATATTAATCTGGACAAAGCAGGACAGTAAAGTTCTGTGATTGAAAGTAGAATTACCATACCACTTCTGAAGTTTGAACAGCTTACACTTACTCTTTGATTCTTCAGAAAAAGTTGGCCAAACTGCATTATCTTTCCCCATTACCTCCTTTGAGAAAATATGGTTGCAATCATCTTTCCACATATTGAAATTTCAGGTGTATACATGCTTTCTCATACTGGTAACAACGGGTATCATAAACATTGTGCAATAAAAAAACCAGGGGGAACAAAATGCAGTGCAGAATCCAAAAGAAGATAAACCTGGTGGAGTCATGTATAGCTAGATCCAAATGAATACATTTTGCAGTTGACATGCACAAAAGGGTTTTACAATAGGCTGAATGTATTCATCAGTTGCTTCTTTTGAAGAGATGTCAAGCAAAGCTTTGTTCCTTTTAATAAGACATTTAAGCATTTCTAAAACAACCATCTACAACAGATTCATGGCTGGCGTCTCCCACTATAGTTATAAATATTGTTTCAGAAACTGGAAAATAAAAATAACCCTTAGGCCCTAAGTGATTTGGATTAGACAGTACTTGTAGGGCATATTCATTTTCCATGTAGGCATTTAGATAAAAACCAATACTAAGTTCTAATTAGAAGAGGCATTTTTCATCCTCTCCTTTAAACCTCTGGTTTATTTTCAAATGGACTCATTCCTGTTCATTCATTTAAAAACATCTACTGAGCGAATGTATTAGCTTTTATAAAAAAGAAAAAAGAATAGATAAAAACAAGGGAAGGTAAATAGATTGTGTAAGAACAGGACTTACTGAAGAAGAATCAAGATGGATTTTTTTTCAAAGGTTAGATCTATCTCATTAGCAGTTTAGGATTCTTTAAAAATGTTAACAATCATATGTAAACAGTACAGCAGTAGATTGCACTTGCATTTTCAAAAGGTTTTTGATGAAGCCCCTCATAAAAGGTAGCTTGAGCAAAATCAACAGTCAAGAGATCAATGGACATATCTCATCACCTGACTCTTGGGTAAAGAACAAAGTGTAGAAATAATTGCACACTTCTTATAATAGAGAGATATGCACAGTTAGGATTTCTTAAGAAGTTGCATTAGGACAAACACATTTTAATAACTATATCAATGACTTGGAGTTAGGAATAAATAATAAGGTGTCCTAGTGGCATCATACAACTCTGAATACTACAGGGAATTTCAAAAGGATCCCTCTAAACTGTCTGAGTGGATGTGTCAGGTGCAAATAACCAGGACCATTTGCTGAGTTCAAAGCACAGAGTTTATTATTGCTACCTATACACAAGAATCTGATCAACTAACGGTCAAAGCTAAATTATCACTAGATAAGGGTCAACGGAATTCACAAAAATATTGTCTGAGGCAACTAACGGAGGCAGAGAAAGGAAGTGTTGGGAAGACTGGCAGATAAGCCAGCAAACAGATCCCACTGAGGAATCCTTCACCTGTGAGATCTTTCCAGATTTTGTTTTGGATCAACCAAGATGTTTCAACTTTCTGAAATCGTATATTTATTAGGGATTCAAAAAACACACACAATTTTCCATTTGGGGCACAGCCCTAAAAACATGAGCTAAATTAAATGGTAAAAGAATCCCCCACTAGCTAAATTACAAATTTAAGTCATATACAGATCATATTTTTATTATTAATGAATTACCCCCAAGTGATTATTAACACAAGTACGTTCTGATTTTGCAATCAATGACACACAGCCCTCACCATTAAACAAAATAAGTACCTGGCACACTTTTGAATAAACGTTGGTATTTGCCTTTTTTCTCCTTATATAACAATATACTAAAGAATAAATTGAAAATGTTGAAAATGTGCATTACCCCAAATAAATAATATGTTTA